AGGAAGGAAGGAAGGAAGGAAGGAAGGAAGGAAGGAAGGAAGGAAGGAAAGAATTCCCACTATATTCAATGAACTGATAGAATATTCCTGAACTAGGTTATTTCATATACAATTCATCTATAAGAATTTCATAAACAGTGTGTTATTTCCTTAATTGTCAAGCACTTTAACCCCAATACAGTAATTGTGTTTCACCATTTCCCAGAGAGGTGCAAAAAATGTGAATACAGATGTTTTCGGTTTTTTCCCCCCATCAGCTGTAGGGAAATCATTATGTGATCACCCCCACAAGTTTAAGGCTACATTGACCTCTTGAGGCAACACTTCACAGAAAACTGTTCAATGGAGTTGCAAAATAAGTGGTGGGGAGTTTTTTTTTTTTTTTTTTTTTTTTTGGGGGGGGTTTTTTTTGTTTCGTTTTGGTTTTTTTGTTGGTTTTTTGGGGGGGTGGGGTTTGTTTTTGTTTTTTTTTTTTTAATTATTATTATTTCTTTTTAATTTATTTTATTTCTCTTGTAGAAAGCTGTGTTCCTAAATGTCATAAAGGTCACCTTAATACACCACTAAGGCCATACCTTGAGAGGAAAATGTCTTTGGCAGATTGGATATAAATAATTTCAATGGTGATTTATTTTTATTTCTTCCTCTTCGAAAAGACATTTGCTACTGCTTTTCATGGGACAGCCATGGAAAACAATAGAAACTTTGCTTTTACTGCATATGCAATAGATGCAGACGGCATGAGAAGTCTCTTTTTCAAAATTATTGATTACTTTTTCAGCTGAAGAAGATACGTTTCTCCCCCTCAGTAGCAGAGGAAGTAATATTTTATAGTTAAATCTTGCTGATTTCAACCAGACTTCACTCTTAGTTATATGCTTCCAGACTGAAATATATATATATTTTTAAGAGAAGCACTTTAATTAATTAATGCTAAAAATTAAACAAACAAATGATCAAAATAAACCTCCCAAATAAGAAACAAACCTCAATCAAGGAACTAGATTATCTATACTGATAACAACAACAACAACAACGATTCAAATAAAACTCAACTACTTTTAGATTTAATTTCACAGAGAGGAAATACAAAATGGTCAGGCATCAAGCAGCCTCTCTGACAATACAGAAACAAATGACATCAGTTTTCATATTCACAGGGAAAAATACAAAAGCCATGTGTCCTGATTTACATACCATGAAAACACATGTGATACTGGTTTTTTTGATTAGTTTGAATGGTTTTTGTGCTAGCCAGGTATTCAAAGCTCAGAAAAGGCCCTTTTTCAGGAAAAGCAGCCAACAAACCCTTCCAAGCCATAAAGTGCTTTCTTTACAGCAGCCTTCTCATTTAGTGAAAGGAACTATTATTGTAATTGTAAAGCCACAGGAAAATAATACTGTTATTTCACACAATAATTTTGGCTGTCATTATACTTAAAAAATAATATACTTCATATACTTCAAAAACAATTTTTAATAGTACCTGCTTAAAGCATAAGGTCAATGAAACTGACCTTCCTGGTCAGTTTTCTCACCCAGAATTATCCAAATTCCCTCACGCACTGGAAAAGCTGGAGGAAAAGGCTTCCCACACCTGGAGCCATTTTGTGAGAGAAACAGAGGAGCCAAGCTTCCAAGCCTTGGGCACACAGCACCGGGGAGTTTCACAGGAGAGGCAAATTCCTCTCTGACACCTCCCTCTTCTGTCACCCTTCTCATCACAGCACGGATGGGAACCAGGGCTCCAGTTCAGAACTTTCCTCCAGGTTCCAGCACGTGGGTTTTGGGTACATTCATCTGCCAGCAATGCCCCAGCACCCCAATTTCAGCTGCTGAGCAGCCTCCTAAAATGGATGTTTGTTATCAAAAAGAGCGTTTTCAGCTTGTACAACTTAATTATATTAAATTATGATGCATTAGTAGGATGTAGAGGAACATTTTAGATGTGCTAATGGTTGTTTTCTATTCATGTGCTCTAATCTTTGGAAAAGTCTTTCCCACAGTGTTCTTTAACCCTCTAAAAGCTGGAAGTATTTGATGTTATATACAAGGTGCACTTAGAAGAAAACCTGCTGTTTGTTCACAATCTGAAGGCATGGGTTAAACATTAAGTTATTACAAAATATCCTGTGACCTGTTAAAATATGGTGGGGGGGAAAAGGATAATATCAAAGCAAATTAACTTTCAATAAAGTAAGTGTTGCCACAAGAGTTTTTCTGTCACACAGTACATTCCCTCACTTGTAATTATGTAGGACTATGTATTTAATTGTTAATTTCTTTAACATTTCCCTTGAAATGCTTTTGTGCTCCCCAGCTACATACTCTGCTGCCATAAAATAATGATGATAATATTGTATCACTAAGTAATTTTTCATTACAGAGAAGCATGTA